ATAATTAAAATTATTGTATATTATTTAATAACATTACTATAAGTTGTAATATTATGCTAAAAAATAATTTAAATAATACAGTAATGAGATATCATTGCATTCATTACTATATATTTTATATTAAATGAATCATAACATTGATATCAAATTTTAAAAAACATTGAACGCCGAGACATGGATTCGCAAACTCATTGAAAAGGGGTTCGGTTTGGACTCCAGTTTCTTCACATCAATTCATTTTACATTTAAGTATATTATCATTAAAAGGGTCTTATAATTACATATCAAATAAATTGTCAATTATTTATACAAATTTAAATTAAAAAGAGATCTCATATTAATTAGTCTCATATAATGGTAATTATCAACAAAATTGTCAATTTAAGTAAATCTCATTATAGTATTATTTCTATAAACAATAGTTATTAATTAGAACTGAAATCATATGACCTCAGTTTCAATATAAATAAAATCCATGTCTTAATCATTCTTCGAGTTCTGATTCACTTTCGTCAAAACCAGATAAGTCCACGTCTCGCAGCAGTTGCTTACAGAGCGCGTACTCCAGAAGTGCTAAATAACAGAACACATACTGATCGGGCACTTGTATACTATAGGCTCGTTCGCCCCGTATCTTCACTACAGTCCGCTTGATGTCTATTCTTCTGGTTGTCTCCAACCGTTGTATACTTATATCCAATGTTATAAATGTCCCTAAAATTGGTATAAATATTCAATTTAGCAAATTATAATAGAGAGTATGAATATACAGTAGTTAGTAGAAAATATAATTTACCGGTTCGGCCAATGCCTGCACTGCAGTGAACAACTATAGGAGGACCTAATGGGTGACCAGTCCATAGGGAACCCATTGATTTGGTTGCGTGCGATTGATATTCCCGTACTTTGTCTCTGAAGTCCAACATTGCAACAGCAGAGAGGGGAACACCTATCACAAAGTCAATAAGAAATTAGTTTTCATAAGAATTAGCATTATTTGTATGAAAACACAAACCATAGTCGGGCCAACTTATGAACTGCATATGAGTTATTTCTCGGGTAATACCTGTCTATAAATTAAAAATATATTTCAATATTTGTAAACAAAATACGGTATAAACAATTAATTGTTCATTACTTTAGTGTCATTTACAACCAGTGATGTAATGATCCAATCTTTGTGTTCATCGACTCCATTGTTATGGACGTGATATTGTCCGAAATCACAACTCGTCTCCTCAGCGAGTGGCCAATACTGACCGCACTTATTACAACACCTCTCGATTGTCTTAGTGGTCATTACAATCACACAACAATTGTTTTCCCAAACGCATCGCCAAAAGTCATTGAATGTCTTTGGCATAGGACCTGACAATGCATACAATTAGTCAATCCGTCGGGCAATTAATCGGCAAATAATTAAATTTAGTAAAAACAATGTGCAATACCTTGTGTTGAAATGAATGCATTCTTCTGTTTATATCCGTTAACATAATTGCCGTTAAGATAGTCTGTATTGGGATCGCCATCGATGAGCGAG